AATAATGTTAACAACACTAACTTACCTAACCTATATGATCACTTTCTTTAATACCTAGTGGAATACTAGTTAATAATGTTAACAACACTAACTTACCTAAACTATATGATCACTTTCTTTAATACCTAGTGGAATACTAGTTAATAATGTTAACAACACTAACTTACCTAAATTATATGATCACTATCTTTAATACCTAGTGGAATACTAGTTAATAATGTTATCCACACAGACCTACCTAAATTATATGATCACTTTCTTTAATACCTAGTGGAATACTAGTTAATAATGTTAACAACACTAACTTACCTAAATTATATGATCACTATCTTTAATACCTAGTGGAATACTAGTTAATAATGTTATCCACACAGACCTACCTAAATTATATGATCACTTTCTTTAATACCTAGTGGAATACTGGTTAATAATGTTAACCACACTAACCTATCTAAATTATATGATCACTTTTTTTAATATCTAATGGAATACTATTTAATAATGTTAACAACACTAACTTACCTAAATTATATGATAACTTTCTTAAATACCTAGTGGAATACTTGATACTAATGTTAACAACACAGACTAACCTAAATTATATAATCACTTTCTTTAATACCTAGTGGAATATTTGTTAATAATGTTAACCACACAGACCTATTTAAATTATATGATCACTTTCTTTAATACCTAGTGGAATACTAGTTAATAATGTTAACCACACAGACCTACCTAAGTTATATGATCACTTTCTTTAATACCTAGTGGAATACTTGTTAATAGTGTTAACCACACTAACCTATTTAAATTATATGATCACTTTCTTTAATACCTAGTGGAATACTTGTTAATAATGTTAACCACACTAACCTATTTAAATTATATGATCACTTTCTTTAATACCTAGTGGAATACTAGTTAATAATATTAACCACGCAGACCTACCTAAATTATATGATCACTATCTTTAATACCTAGTGGAATACTTGTTAATAATGTTAACAACACTAACCTACCTAAGTTATATGATCAGTTTCTTTAATAGTTAACGGAATAGCTTAATAGACCTTGGTTATAAATTTTTTAGTCTGCTCAATTATAACAAGTAATTATAATAGGCATGTTTTTATTTATAAAATAATTATTTATTGAAAGTCTTAGGAAGAAGAAGCAAACAATTTTATTGTTGTACATTTCAACTTTTACCTTTAATAAACTAATACTGTGACTGGGTCTTTCGATGTTCTGAATATTATTTTAATGCTCTAATAATAAAGAAATACGAATAACTCAATGAATCAGTGCATTCCTTTTTATTTCATGACAATGTTGTGTAAATTTAGCCAGAAATTATACAATGTTTCCTAATTCTTATTAAAGAAAATGTGAATACAAAAGTGAACTACACGAGACGTAAATAAGTTGGCAGGAAAATCACCACATCCTTTAATGTTGCGTTGTTGGTACAGTAAATTGGCTAAAGTACTCACAGGCATTAATGGCTACTTCAACTGTAACGTTGTAAACTGGGTGAGTAGGAACCTAAACAGGCAACAAAACAGATCTTTAATATAGGTATGAACCTGCAGAGGCAAAAAAACAGATCTTAGATATAGGTAGGAACCTAAACAGGCAACAAAACAGATCTTTAATATAAACAAGAACCTACATTGGCAACAAAACAAATCTTAGATATAGGTAGGAACCTAAACAGGCAACAAAACAAATCTTATATATAGGTAGAAACCTAAACAGGCAACAAAACAAATCTTATATATAGGTAGGAACCTAAACAGGCAACAAAACAAATCTTATATATAGGTAGGAACCTAAACAGGCAACAAAACAAATTTTATATATAGGTAGGAACCTAGACAGGCAACAAAACAGATCTTATATATAAGTAGGAACCTACAGAGATGATAAAACAGATGTTATATATATGTAGGAACCTACAGAGATGACAAAACAGATCTTATATATAGGTAGGAACCTTCAGAAGTGATAAAACAGATTTTATGTATAGGTAGGACCCTAAGTAGGCAATGAAACAGATCTTATATATAGGTAGGAACCTACAGAGGCAACAAAACATATCTTTAATATAAACAGGAACCTACATTGGCAACAAAACACATCTTACATATAAGTAGGAACCTTCAGAGGTGATAAAACAGATTTTATGTATAGGTAGGAGCCTACAGAGGTGACAAAACAGATCTTACATATAGATAGGAACCTACAGAGGTGACAAAACAGATCTTACGTATAGATAGGAACCTTCAGAGGTGATAAAACAGATTTTATCTATAGGTAGGAACCTAAGTAGGCAACGAAACAGATCCTATATATAGGTAGGAACCTACAGAGGTGATAAAACAGATCTTATGTATAGGTAGGAACCTACTGAGGCAACAAAACAGATCTTTAATGTAGGTAGGAACCTACACTGGCAAAAAAACAAATCATAATATAGGTAGTAACCTAGATGGGCAACAGAACAGACCTTAAATATGGGTAAGAAGCTTGTCTGTTTCTGTCTCTAAAGACAGGCATGAAATCTATACAGCCTCCAGTAAAATGCTAGGCTACTTACTTAAGTAACTTAACAATTCATTGTTTCTTTCTCCAACAAAGGTCATATCTGTTCTGTATATGCCAGCAAAATGCTGGGCCATAAAAGAAACTTACCAATTCATTGTTTCTGTCTCCAACGACATATACAGAACAGATATGACCTCCAGCAAGATGCTGGGCCATAAAAGAAACTTACCAATTCATTGTTTCTGTCTCCAACGACACAAACGGAACCAATACGACCTCCAGCAAAATGTTGGGCTATAGATAAACCACTCAGAGTGTAACAGGTGTGGTAGAAGTCTCTAGGTCTGTTTGTTGACAAACAAGAAGTAGTTGGTACATTTTTACTTAATAACAAATGAAAAATTATACTTTTAGATGGAAAACAAGTTAGCCATTATTACAAAAGACTTTATCTTTCAGTTTTTATAATAACTTTTTGTCATTAAAACACAACAAGAGAAAACGTAATCAGTCAATTGATCTTTAACTCTTTCAGCACAGGCTTGATCCCTGGGACCAACATTGTAACCATTTTGTGCTTGTTATAGATTTCATGCTACTTTTAAATTAGTAAGCAAATGTTAACAAAATCTGGCAGTTTATCAGTGAAACATTACAATGCTTTCATATGCAAATCTTTTTATTAAGTCTTAAAGTTTGTTACGCAACGTTTTTCTCATGTCTATTTTTCTTTTCTCTTGTTACCTATCCAACATGCAAAGTAATTTTCATTTTAAGATTTAAAATATTTTTATGCATCAGAAAATTTTCAAACTTCACATGCAAAATCTTTATAATGTCCAGATAGTTACCAAACGTTTCTTAAGAAAAAACTTTAATTTTATCTGTTATTTTCAGTAATTAATCTCTGTACGGGTTCGGTAGATTTGGCCGATCTTGTAACCACCATAAAAAATTAGGAAATAAATATAAATTATGCCTCTTTCATTCTAGAATGAACAGAAATTATAACACAAAACCATAAATGTTTAGACTAGATAGCTTAAATCTCATAATATTATACATTTATTATTTTTATTATGTTGACCTTTCAGCCGTGCCTGGCTAACAATACAGAGGTTACAATGACGTGGCACATGTGCTCTCATGTTACTGTATCTAGTAATATAAAACTAACCTTTAGTCTTTACAAAGTAATTTGTCTTGGCTGTGTTTTAGTAGACTAGTATTTTGTAAAATACAGTCACATTTCAATTCTTATACATTTTGTATGTATACAGATTAGTACTATTTTCAAATAAGTCCTTAAACTATTTTCCCTAAAACATAGAACAGTAAATAAAGAAGTAAAACAAACAATTATCTCTTCTAATTACAAACTTTGTACTCGGTTGCTGCTTGACATTGGTTGCTAAGCCTTTTAAACTTTTGCACGTGGAGGATGTAAAACAAAATAATTTTTTTGTAGGTTTTATATATATATATATATAGAAATAACAAAAAAATCATAAATTACTACCACATAATTTCACTGTAATTTATTCAGTTTAGGAACTAAGCTGCATTTGGTTCTAGAAAAATATGAAATTTTGAGCAGACTGAAGACACAACCTACCTACTTGAAATCTTGGCATCTTAAGAATTTAAAAGGGCTGAGAAAGTCGCTAGGAGGACATTCTGAGCTTTTGATTGGTTATTCACATGTCATATATTGAAGTAAATTAATATAAGGAACCGTTTCCAAAAATGTAAAGTGGTGAGTGGGGCCACTGTGTTTGATTCAGTACATGAGTGATATTTCAGAAAATAGAAAAGATACGAGGTTCTTATTTTATACTCTAGCTTGTCAATATTGGTAATTTAAGTTCCTAATTCATATGAAGTTACAGACTTAATATTTTGATACCACAAACATCTAATTTGAATCAGTGCTGCATTCAGCATACCACGTGACACACAAAAATCAAAATTTATCTGTTTTTATATTTATTTTTAAATTAACAAATTGAATAATGTATAATATTAAAAGATGAATTATAACACACAGTTTGACACCAAACTTATTGACATAAATTCGTGAAATAGTAGTTCAATAAAATTTTGTATGAGAGTCAACAAATGCGATGACATGACCTTTCACCCATGCCCTGTCTGGAAAGGGTTAATGGGTTTCTGATAAAAACTTGTTTCACCTGTTTATGGAGAAAGTCAACTGGTCAAAATGTTTTCCAAATAAAAAGTATTAGAAGATAGAGTTGACCAACTTTCAGGTATTAACATGCTTTTGATATAGCTTCCACTGGTTTACCAAATTATTAATATAAAACCTTATATAGAAACCTATTTAACCAACAATTGTTATGGCATGAATGCAACTCAAGATCATATTATATCTGTCATTATACATTATTGTTAAGTAGATTGTATTTTTTTAACACTAAACTGTTTATTCAGTCCCTTATGGCTTTTCAAGAAGAATAGAATGTAATAGTATATCAACCATACTCTGCCACTTTACATGCTAGCCACTAGGCCGTGGCCTGCCCACGATACTACTTAGAAAAGTGATGGCTGCATTATCATCTTAAAATTCTCTTTAATCACCTTCAGAGTACCATTCTGTATTAATATCAACGTTTGTGTTTTAATGACCTTCAGAGTACCATTCTGTATTAATATCAATGTTTGTGAAGGTCATTAAAACATTGTACCATTCTGTATTAATATCAATGTTTGTGTTTTAATGACCTTCAGTGTACCATTCTGTATTAATATCGATGTGATTTCAATCTATACATACTTTCCTGGTTTGTCAATCAAGCCTCCAGATGTGTTCTGACAGCAAATCAACAAATATTCTTGTAAAGCAGTTTGGTTAAACAACCAGTGCTCCATACTGGTCGTGAGATTATCTGAACAAATAAAATACAACCAAATCCTTTATTTATTATCATGGCTAAAATATCAACTTTACAATTCTCTATACTACCAAACATTCCAAGATTTTTTTATCTTACTTCTTTAATACATCATCTGACAACTTTACAATTATCTCTACTACCAGACACACTGCTCAATGGGCAGCTGTTTGTGCTATTAATAACTAATCATAATATTCATACCTCCTTCATTAAAAAAATTTGAAAAAGTAAACATTTTATAAAAAAGAAGGATTTCTTTCTGGGAAATACTGCATGGGAAAAGTGTTAGGATTGTGCTATTTAGTCATACACAATTCATTACATCAAAATGATTCAATGTACAGAGCTCAAAACTTTACTGATATAAACTTTAATGTTCTTATATATTAAAAGTTCTACTCTTTATTGAAAAAATAGTATTTATTTAAGAACACCAGTTTCTCAATACTACATTTCAAAATTACATAAATAAAGATATAATCAAACCCTCACATACAGTTCTAGTGAAAGTCGTG